TTTGCTGGACTCCTATGTATGTGTTGGGGTCCAGCTGTGTTCGATATTGTGTGTCCTCCCTGGGGAAAAGGATGGTGTTGGGGCTAAGCAGAACCAGGATGATGGAAATCTGGCTTCTCCTCTGGGCCTTGCTGCTGATATAGTCAGTCAATCTGACAGTATCCTCAACTCTCCTCCACACCCTGCTGCCTCAGTTTCCCACTTGTACAAGGAGAGGGGTCTCCCCAGGCTTTTGGGGGTGGTGGGGTTTCTGCTGCAGCTTCTGAAGTGTAGCATCCTCAGCTGCCTGATGCTGAGGGGGGTGAGGAGCTCTGGGTGCTAATAAGCACATAATTGGTGTATCCTCTTCTCGTCTATTCAAAGTCATTAGCACTGTAGAACAAACAGCAGTTTCTCCCAGTAGTGATGTGTGTATGCCTGGTGGAGATGCTTCAGGATGGACAATCCTGCGCAAAGTGTACCTGCGTAATGCCAGCCATTCTGGAGAAGTCACTTGTAAAGATTAATTGTGCCTCATTTTCTCAGCTGGAACCAGTCTCACATTCATCAAAATTCTGCTGCATGAAAGTCTGTGTTGGTCCCCGCTTCCGCTTGCCATTGTGGGGAAGCTGGAGTGAGATCAAAAAGAAAAACCAAAAAAAACAGGGAAAGATGCTGCAGTGTTTCCCATCTCAGAGGGAGGAGTGTTCTCCTTACTGCTGGCCGGACACATCTGGTAGCTCATCTGTAGTATTTTCTTAGTAGAAGTGAAACCAGTTGGGAGAAGGGGCATGGTTAATTCCCTTGCTTTTGGCTGTATCTGTCCCTCTGTCAGCCTTTCCGTGGAAATTCTTCTTGACGTATAACAGGACAACGCTGTTCACCCTGCCCACAGTACAGCCAGGCTGTGCCACGGAGCAGAGGAGCCTTGTGGAGCTGCCCGCATCCCCGGCTTGTTATACAATCTGTCCCCTTCTGCTTTATCCTCCTGCAGGAATGTTTCACACCATTCATCAATGGCAGCTTCTTTGAGCATGACGGGCAGCCCTACTGTGAGGTGCATTACCACGAGCGTCGCGGCTCGCTCTGCTCCGGTTGCCAGAAGCCTATCACAGGACGCTGCATCACTGCTATGGGCAAGAAATTTCACCCTGAACACTTTGTCTGTGCCTTCTGCCTCAAGCAGCTCAACAAAGGAACCTTCAAAGAACAGAATGACAAGCCCTACTGCCAGAACTGCTTTCTCAAGCTCTTCTGTTAGAGGCATCATAGATGGGCGCTAAGCATCTTTCTGCCGCCCCCTTGACAGTTCTGTCTCTCTGAACATTACTGTGATTTAGAAACCTTACCAGGCAGGGGAGGAGGGGGGTGGGGGTGGGGTGGGAGTGCTTTCTGCTGCTATGGAGAGGCAGTAGATCCACAGATGAGATGGACCATTAAACTGGAAATGCCCTTGCTGTGTCTCAGTAGAGAGAGGCAGAGTCCCCTCATTACGGAGTGCGTGTCTGTGTGTGTGACTGACAGCTGAGCTTAGCTCGAGGGCTCCAACAGGGAGATTTTACTCAGCCCCCTCCTGGCAGAAGGAGTCTTTGCCAGTAAGTTTCAGCCTGTGTCAGCTCCCTGAGCAAATCGTGACACTTGCTGACAACTCAGCCCTCTGCTTTGACACCTCTTTCGCAGGCTTATGTCCGCATGCCTGCAGTCTGAGCAATAGCACAGCAAGGGCACCCTGTGATCTCAGTGCCACCCTGGCTCCGCTCATTAAAGCCACGTGCTGTGTGTGACTTGCTGAGATCAGCGTCAGCGCAGGCAGCCAAGACCCTGCAAGGGTCTCTCCAGTTCCATTACACTGTAAGGAGATAATACCACTTACTTTTTTTTTTTTTTTTT